GTCGTCGTCGTCGTGGTCGTGGTCGTAGTCGTCGCAGTAGTAGCAGTAGCAGTAGTAGTAGTCGTAGTAGTAGTAGTAGTACAGTAATAGTAGCAGGAGTAGTAGTAGTAGTAGTAGTAGTAGTAGCAGTAGCAGTAGCAGTAGCAGTAGCAGTACTAGTAGTAGTAGTAGTAGTAGTAGTAGTAGTAGCAGTAGTAATCGCAGTCGTAGCAGTAGTAGTAGCAGCAGTAGTAGTAGTATAGTAGTAGTAGCAGCAGCAGTGGTAGAAGTAGTAGTAGTAGTAGTAGTAGGAGGAGGAGGAGGAGGAGTAGTAGTAGTGGTAGTTGTAGGAGTAGGAGAAGGAGTAGGAGTTGGAGGCGTCGGAGTAGGAGTAGGAGTAGGAGTAGTAGTAGTAGTAGTAGTAGTAGTAGTAGTAGTAGGAGTAGTAGTAGTAGTAGTAGTAGTAGCTGCAGTAGTAGTAGTGGTGGTAGTGGAGTATTTGTGGTCGTCGTCGTCCTAGTCGTAGTCGTAGCCGTAGCCGTAGCCGTGGCAGTAGTAGTAGTAGTAGTAGTAGTAGAAGAATTGAAAATATACTAATGTGATAGTAGTAAGAACGAAGATGTGTCTCGTTGGTTGTACTAAGACGCTGTGCCATGTACGTGGTTCTTCAGTGCCACGTGCCACCTCACAGTAGTGACAGTGAGTCTCTTGAACTCGCATCCGCTGAGTCGCTGAGTGCCTGTAGTTTTGCTGGATGCTCGCTAGCTGCGCTCTACAAGGACAACACTTTCAGTGTCATCGTCAGAGACCAGGACCGTTTGGCTGCGATTTGCGACTTTCTTCCAACGTGTCTGTCTGAAAATGCAGATGTACTTCCTGTTGGATTTCGAGTCACGACTCATCAATCGCATCTGAACGCATGAGAAATCGGCTGATTGTATGAATCACTTGCCAGTCCTCCCGTGAGAGTCGAAGCTTGCACCTGCCCTTCGGGGTCGGTTTGTCTTGCATCTCAGCCTGTACGGTGTTTTATTCACCTTGATTTCAGATTCGAGCAAACTGCCGTTCCCTTTGGGCACATGCCGTTCCCTTTGGGCAGACATGTGCCAGGACGGCGGTGTCGTTGATGCAGCGTGCCCTCCCGTAGCTGACACCGTCACGTGATCGAAGCACAAGTGGAAGAGCGAAGAGTGCAAGCAGTGGTTCGAGGGCAACTTCTCGCTGATGGCGAGAAGCAAGCTCATGATCTTGTTGGTTCTGTAAGCTCCGCGTCCTTTCACTTGTCATGGCATCCGGAGAAATCTGAGTCTTCACACGAGGATGCCACATGGCCACGTTGTGTTTGGAGTTTGGAGGTACTCCATTCAGGGCAAGCCCTTCGTGATCATGGGCGTGACCGACCCCTACCTTGATTGGACCGGCTCCCAGAATGAATGTGTACATACAGTATACAATTATATATATATATATATATTCATGTATATATATATATACACACAGAAATTTCATACTGTGACATCCTGTTCTATACTATAGTACACCAGAAAATAAGTAATATAACAGAACAGTCATGTGTGAAGGGTGGGCTTGCACGTGTCCACGCGTCAGCGTCGGCCCCTACAGAATGGGTTTTGCAAAGTTTCGGTACCCACGAGCTTATAATTCGAGGCAGTTTGTAAGTCCCAAACCCTAAACTTAAGCCTAAGCGCCCTCAAAGCTTTAAGAATTCTATTCTGCAAAAGCTTGCCAACGCCTTAAAGGTTCAAGTAGGCATCGCACAGGTCGCAGGCGGAGCCAGGGCAGCGGACGCAAATTACGAGCTTTGGCTGCAGCTCAGGGCGACTCTTTCGAATTCGCAGATCCAGAAATCCAGGGCATGGGGTTGCGGGTTTCGGATTTAGAGAAGTTAGAACGTGCCGGAGTTCTGTACCTTGTGAGCACTGAGCCGCTGACGACTTTCAGAATCTGCTTGACTGGCCCTCTGCCTCCTGCGCGCTGGACATTCGGACATTCGTGATGCCCCAAAAAACAGACCGTGAGATTGACCAGTAGAAGAACTCCCCCTAAACCCTAAACCCCGAACCCTGATCTGAAAGCTGGCACCATCGTGTGCCCGAGCACAGGATCGGGCTCACGTTCACGGGGACCACCCCCAATGTCAAGGTGGGACTTTGGTTTCACATTTCGCCACCCCATCTGTGTCAGTTCTCAGAGCAGTGCCAAGCGCCCGAGCGTTTCTGTCAAAACAAAGCTTGGACATGTTGGACAAACTCAAGAAGGAGTTACGTGCATGTGGTATGGGCTTTAGGCTAATACTGCAGAACCATAGCCCCTGTCAGCAAGCTGGGAACATGCCTGACTTGTGAATCTCCTCAATCAAACTGCGAAAGGCAAGACATCGCCGCTTTTGCATTCAATCCGGATCGTCTCTCCTAAAATCCAAAATCCCTCAACACATCCTGACGTGCATGCTGGTTTGCGGTCCAGACAATTCGGCTGTGGGTTGCGAGTGTTACGGCCGGGTCCCGCGATGAACTGGGTTAATTTGCTTGCGGTCACGTATGAATGAAGGGGCCTCACCGGTCGTTCATTGGAACGGTAGCTTGCCGCTGGCCGGAGCCCACCACGGACCAGCGGCATGTTTCGGGAATATGAGCCGACATGCGAAGTGAGCTACATACGATCTACAAGCTTGAACGTGGATGTTGGCTCGGTGCGATTTGTGCTTGCTCTCTGTCGTGCAGGCGGTGTTGATCATGCTCCCAGAGCGCTTCATTCACGATGTCCAGACTCCAACGGACGTGCAAAACATCAACAAGTCTGCGACCCGGATGTCAGTGACGACGGTTCGTAGCGCTTGCAGATAGCATGATGAATGTGAGCAGGCACCGCACTTCCTTTTTTAAAGTTCTCTTCTCCGGGCCTGTGCTGGGACGGTTCTAGTTTGTACTGACCTGCGAGACCGGCACAGGCAGTTCCCGGTGGCAGCAGGGTCGGATTGGGCCTGCCCCCCAGAGATTCTGCTCCGATGTTTTCGTGGAGCCAAGTTGAGCAGACAGGGTCGCAGAGGATGAAAGCTTGGTTTCTGTCTTGACCTGATGGTTCGTTGGTGAAAGGAGATTACACTATCATCATCGTCATGATAGGGTGCTGCTTCTGCTTCACCACTGTCCATGGCTAGGATCACTCCAGCTTCACGATGTGTCGATAACTTGTAGTTGACTTTCTTGTGATGGTGCGGTCGCCAGACCACTCAGGCAGACACCCAGTACACCGATCGGATCAAGATATATTTGGACGACACTGGCGGTGGCCAGGCCATTGATCCAGGCGAGTATCGGCCAGCAGCCCAACTGCTTTCCAGACTTCCACGACAGGGTTTCCAGGTTTGTGTCGGGTGCGACGATCAGCCTCATGTATCAACGACGACTACAGCCTTGGCGTACAAGTGTGCGGCATTCGCAATGCATGTTGCTTGTTGTCTGCGTGTGTGCACTGCGTGTGGCCGCAAGCTTGACCCAGGTTCAGCTTCCCGGCTCTGGTGCCACCGAGCATGCTGCGACCTCAGAACTGTAGTATACCATAGTACATAGTAGTATACTATAGTACATTATGTATACTATAGTACATGATAGTATACTATAGTACAATAAAGTATAGTATGGTACCGTATGTGATGTTGTCTGACTTGGCTTTGATATTCTATCTCTCGGTACCTGACGCTGTGCGGCCCATGCACGGCTGAGCACCTTCCTCGCTTCCATTAGGGACCCGAACAGGACATACGCATACCCTTATTGGGCTTCAGTATAGGGAGTTTATATGGGATATCCCTATCCTAAGTTTTGCTTACGTGCTTTTGGTGGACCTATTCCACAGCCTGCTGTTCCACTGGCAGGTCCAACAACAATTACTGGTCGATTTCCCTGTCGCATCCTCAGCGGACTGCGTATGATCTAATTTTAGAAGACATCCTAGCCTGGTCATCCATCGCATCGCAGTTAGACATTACGACATTCGATGCCGACCTGTCTTCTGACAAATGCTGTATGAGTCGTGTGAGCATTACGAAGGGGTCGTGATCTCTCGCAATGGCAGGTGCTTCGATCGGGATTGTCAGCAGCCCGACGGGCAGCACCCTGCCCAGCAATGGTCCTGCGAAGCTGCAAGTCCATCACTGTCAGATCCCCGCTCATTGCCTAGCTAGAGCCGCATCGAGTGAAGGTACATCATCGTGAGTTTCCCCATCGCGGGCTTCCAGCTTTACGAACTGTCACAAGAGGCTGGCTATACGGTTTGTTGTGGAGCACCAGGTCCGGTCGGAGAGTATTTCTACCGGAGACGATATGAAACCGAGTTCAGTTTGAAAGTCCCGGAAGTTGAATGTTAAGAGGAATAACGAACACAAGTAAAGCCAGCGGCTCGCTCATTAAAGCTAAACAGACCATATCAACGCAGCGGGCAAAGCGACACAGTGAGATTTGTAGACGAGAATCGTTGAAGGCAACCAATCTAAGCATGCGCATGATTTGATAGTATTGCGGAGCTGTCAGCTGTCAAGTTTTTTTCCAAGTTCAACTTCGCGCTCGTGGCATTTGTGCTAGTACACACTCCTGCCTATCTCGAAAATCGATGGGTGTTTACACCTTGAGCTCAAACCTGCAACCTCCCCAGAGCCCCTGAATTCCTTGCAAGCAACCCTAAACCCTAAACCCTAAACCTAAACCAAGCCACATCCCGGCCTCAGACTCTTCGGTTCACTACGAACTTCGCCCCGCGCAGAGCGCGCCTCAGCGGAGAGGCGGGGCTTGAAACTAAGGGCCTGTAAGATGTGTGTGTGTGTGGGTGGTTGTCAAAATTATGGTCCCTTTTTGGGTCCTTATTATAATACGGCACCTATTATTTAGGGTACCCCAAAAGGGACCATAATCTTGACAACTACCCATGTATGTATGTATGTATGTATGTATGTATGTATGTATTTATGTATGGTAGCGTTTAGGGTGGGGTAGGGTATGGTATGTGTATATATGTATGTATGCATGCATGCATACAAGCATGCATGAGTATGTATGTATGTATGTATGTATGTATGTATGTATGTATGTATGTATGTATTTATGTATGTGTGTATGTATGAATGTAGGTATGTGTGAATGTACGTTTGTACATGTGCGAATGAATGTGCGTACGTATGCATGTATGTATGTATGCATGTATGTATGTATGTATGCATGTAGGTATGTATGCATGTATGTATGTTTGTATGTATGTATGTGTGTATGTGTATATATATATATATGTAGTTGTTTGTGTATATTTGTATACATGCTTACATGTGTATGTATATATATATATATATGCATATATGCTTACATGTCGATAGGCATATATGCATATGTATATATGTACGTTTATGTGGGTGTGCATATGTATATATCGATATGCATCTTGGGTGATTGAAATAGTTACTTGCATAGATGTGTAGCATACAAGTAGCTGCGTGATTTCTATCAATATACACACACATTTGGAGTGGCAGTGCTTCGGCCTTTCCAGATTGTGCGCCTGCCTGCATGCCTTTGCGTTCGGATCTTCCTACGGTTGATGGTTTTAAAGCCTGCATTACCCATAATCAGGAATATACCATCATTCACATAGTTTAGGGTCCTTAAGGTAATGCAGGATTTACATCATCAGCAGTAGGTTCGGATGGATCTTTAGGAAGGGGAGAGGGCTCCGAGGGTTTCAGATGGCTCCCTCATGCAGGTGCGGAAGCGAATCAAGGGGTCAGAGTCACGTGTTGGGAATTAGGTTTGGGTCTCCGACTGCCTGTTTCAAGGTTCCAGGTCCCAGCATCCTCTGCATGTCCTATAACTGGCGGACCGTGTATCCATAGTCCCCTCTCCTATGCTGACGCCTTCCATCGTACAGACAGCCCGAAACAGCAGATTCGCGCGTCTAATGCTAAGACTATCGGTTTCGCTCCCACGATACCGCCACTTTAGTACAGCATCGTGATTTTGAGCAGTCGGTTGGTTCTTGTCTCATTGTAGTATCATCGTATAATGTCACTAAGTTTCGATTCCGGCCGGGGGAAGGTGGTTAGTGAACTCGGCTGTTAGTGGTGGACTGACTGCAGAGGCATCTTCTAAAATAAGGGAGCGCTCCATACAGTAGGGTCCGGCTTACCTCACTCTGAGGAGCAGCTGTCAACTATTGATCATGGCTACAGTCGTACTCTTGTGCATCTCTAAAGTATAGTACGTCTATAAGCATGGAAACACCGACAAGTATGCCTCCGCCGGGAAGGTTTTCATCCCACTATTCGCATTCATCCTCCTGTTGCTCAGACCGTTGTACCGGCCTCAGCAGAGTTGCAAAAATTAGGACAGCAACTTCAGATTGCGGTGATAGTAACCATCCGAGTCGCAAGAAGCCGGGTTTGCTCGGGTCATATCAGGTGGCTGAGAATGGCCATGCCGAAATTCAGTCAGAAGAGGCGTAGCTACAAGCACACGGTTATATTCTCTTTATAGCAACAGCGACCTATGCAAGCTTGCTGACAACGTGCTGTTGCGCGATGTGGCTGCTTGCAGTGGCCCTGTTCATGCTCAGGGCTCCTCTTTTCTTTGGCAGTCTCAATTCCCGATGGCAGCTTGGTTTTGCTTGAGACTTTGAGATACGCATTCTATAGATCACATTAGTACTGTCTTCAGCATGTGCAGTGAACATTTACGGAAAGAGTAAGGAGAACATTCGACCGACCAGCACAGAAGAATGTATTTCGTTTGGGGCTAATTCAAGTGATCACCAGTCTCACGAACACACCCCGGTTGCGGATACTGGCTCGCGGCCTCCCGAGGCGATAAGATGCAAGCGCAGCGTCTCACCTGCCAAGTGGTGCCAACGGTGCCAGAACCACAGCCGAAGATCGCTCAGCTTCCGGTGTGAACCTCAGCAAAATGAGAAGGCAGATACTTTTCCACAGATGTCCTGTCCTGCGAACCCAGAGTTTAAGCACATGTTCTTGTGAATTTTACCATACTGCGGATGGGTGTCCTAATCATGAACTCCTATGGCTTACCGCTAGACGCCACTATCGCCACGGCCCCACACCCAATAGGATTTGCAGAATGAGTATGGTTTGCGACCTTGAGGGCCAAGAAGGGTGCAAAGTTGGTGGCAAGTGCCGAGATTGCTATGAATCATGAAGCTCACGTGCGAAGACACCTGCACAATTCGGAGGTATATGTCAGGTACTAGGTTTAAACTGCTGACGATGGCAACTCGCACTAGAGCCTAACACGCATGCTCAATTGCCGGCAGTAGAAAAGCCATGCAGCTCCCAACTTGAGCAGACCCCCGCAGTCAATAAACTCGCAGCCCCAGAAACCCTTGCAGTTTGTGAGCAGCCGGTGCCGCTGGCGTCGCCCGCACGAAGTGACTAGGGTCGAACACGTTCCTGCAAAGCCCCGTACCACCGAAACTGAGCATCCGACAGCTATCAATTCCTGATGCTTCCATTTCCTCCACCGGTGCGGTCTGAGCGGTGCAGTTCTTGAAATGCTGGTTGTCACTATTGCCTATGCTGTGCACGTGGGAAGAGCCAGAGGATCCTTTTCTTGGAAGTGGATGCGGAAGGGAATTCGTTGCACACCAATTTCGCAGTCTCGCGTGTCGTGTTAAAACAGTGGAAGCATAGGGCTACCTTCTACGAGAGACTGCAGATTCGATTTGCAGAGTGTTTTCTGATTCCAGCAAGTGAATTAGAATGAATGCAAGAGGATGAGAAGGAGGACAAGTTGCCTCACTATCTCATTAGTCAATGTTGACTCCCGGACTGTCCCAGTCCTCGAAAAGAACAATTTGTTTGGCTACGACGGCTGCGTGCCTGGGGCTGCTTTGACTTTGGCCGAGACTATTCCGCGAATGGCTTCCTTACTATAATATACTATAACATACTATAATATACTACAATATATTACAATATACTACAATCTACTACAATATCTGCTTGAACTACTTTGCCTTACTTCGGGAAGCCACTGCTTCCAAGCACGCTTGAATTCAGCTACTTGTAGATGCAACCTTCTGCATAAGGCTATTTGGAGACACGGTCAGTGCCCTCAAGTGGCTGTCAGAGACGCCCCCGAAGCAGTGCATGGCAGTCCGTTGCAAGATTTTCTTCACTGCCAAGGCAGGAAGTAGGAACAGGCAGCTGGCACCTCGCTTGCAGTCTAAGGTACCGGGACTACAAGTGACTTTTGCGAACGGTCGGCGAGGGTGCCACGGCACAGTCTCACTGGGAGGGGACAAAGGGCCGGCGCGAGTCCAGAGCCAAGGCGAGTGCCTGGAACAGCCTCCTTACATATAGAATGTCATGCATTCATGCGCGCGCGCGCGCGTGTGTGTGTGTGTGTATGTGTGTGTGTGTGTATGTGTGTGTGTGTGTGTGCGTGTGTGACGATGTTCAAGCACAAACGCACACACATGGACATGTGTGCAGTGTGTCTACATATGTCAGTGTGTGTGTTTAACCATTAGGCGATATAAGACGAAGGAGAGTCAGAGTGCACTGCAACGACAACAAAACTGTAGCTGGGCGGCCGGACCACATCCTTCACACAGGCGAGGCCCTAAGGGCCGTAGGCAAGTCCGGAATATCTTTGCGCGTGCCAAAGAAATGATGGGGCATCAGGTTTTGCATTTATGGGACCAGGCAGGCCACATCAGGGCATGAGCATGACAAAGTTGAGACGTTTCGTTTGCAAACTCAGCACACTTTAGTTGACAAGTCCAGATGAACAGTCATTGTGCTTTTTTTACGTACTGTATCCAGATATTTTCGGCAGTAGGGCCTGACTTCTGACGCTATTCTGCGCTTGGGGGTAGGTTGGACGCAGATGCAAAGAAATTCTGAAGTGCTCCAGTACAATCAGCAGGCAGAGGCACCCCACGAGTGACCCCGACTGTTTGCCGTTTCACGTGCTTAGGGTTTAGACTTATGTGATCGCTCGACATTACGATGCTTCGGAGTGCATGTTGTCATGTGTTGTCCTTCGATTCCATGCATGATGCAAGTCCAGTTTGGGGAGTTCTCCGCTTTGCACGCGTTCGTGTGTGTATGTATTCGATTTTGTGTCAAAGGTAGCATATGCAACAGACCCCTTTCTGCCATTCCTGTTGAGGCATGAGGTGCTGGCTGACCGTTTTTCCCACTCGCCGTTTTCCGGGCCGCAGCTTAAACTGTGGAAATTCAGCGCCTTTTCCGCTCCTGGACGAAGAAGGACCCTTTGCCTGGCGAACTTCTCACATGTTCCGTGGCTCCAACAAGACCCCTGTCCTCCGGCCAGGGAGGCTTCACAGCCATACAGTATAACGCAGCACTTCACAGTCCAGAGACCCAAAGCCCTCAAGCCCTCAGCCCGGAGCTCCCATGGAATCCCAACACTCATGTTACTAGTAGCTACCATGACGCCACAACGGGGCCCTGACGCCGTAAGCTGGGCGATGGACGATGACCTGGAGCGCGCTGCGCGAAAGCATCGCCTGCAACAGCGCCATGGGGCGATTCGAGTCGGAGTCTCAGAGCGGCTTCTTCATGCTAATACAAATACAAGTACAGTACGAGTTCTGTTTAAATATTGGTATTAATGATACCAATAATGCTATTACTACAGTATTACAGCTAATAACAAGCATAGCAACAAAGATAATAATAGCAGTAATAATAATAAGAAGAAGAAGTAGGATAATAATACAAAGAGTGAGAGCAACCACATCATCAACAACAACACCAACAGCCCCAACAGCAGCAACACAACACAACTGCAGCAACAGCAACGTCAACAGAGGCAACCGCAACAACAACAACAACAAAAGCATACAACAACAACATCAGCAACAACTACCACAACAGCAACAGCAGCAACAACAGCAACATCAGTAACAACAGCATTAAGAATAATAAAAAGCCAGTGAGATCACTAGAAGGATAATATCACAAGAATATACTAGTATAATAGTGTACTGATATACTAATAGTCGGTTCAGAGTTAAGGCTTTTTCGAAGGGGTGGGGTTGAGGCCGTAGCCTCTTTTCACAGATTTACCTACGAATGATGTTGTCCGGGCTAACCTTTGTTCTTTCGTTCGTGGGTCATTTCGTCGGACTTGTCCTCGATAGGCTTTGCTTCAGTTTGGTCACTGTTGTGGTTTACGATGTTGTTTACGGTGTCGTGCTTGTTGTTGTCATTATTCGTGCTAGTCTTCAGGTTTACCGGGCTTGGCAATACAGGTGTACGGATGGGATCAGATGCTTGTTTTGTGTGTTTGTACATGCTCAACTGGAGGGTGTGGTGGGCCTCGAACAAAGGGTTTGGTCATGTTCAGGCACTTCACTTGCCAGGACAACGGAGATTAACAGTGGCACGAAGGCAGGAGAAAGTGAGGATGAAAAGGTGTAATTGACGATTCCGGCTTGGGCTTAGGTTCGTAGGGTATACGACCTTGAACGCGAACCCTAGTCCTTGGCCATAAATACTAAGCCGCAGCAGGAGGAAGCGGCAGATTGTTCTTGACGACGACTTCTACCCTGGTAGTCGCCAACTGTTTGTTTCTGCATTGAGGCACAGCAGAGGCAGCGGCTGCAGGAGGAGCAGAAGAAGGCATTCACCTTGCCAGGGATGCTGGATACTTAGGATGAGGCTTCGCCTCCATGCGTGCTGGACCAAGCCGACGACTCGTGTAGCCTGCCTCGTTCCTGTTTGGGACCCCAGCATGACCGCCTGCGAGGCTGCTTTGGACGTCTCTCCTGCGAATGCAGGCCGCTGGTTTTCTCTTGAGAATCGGAAGCGAGCTTTTGGCAGCTCTTCCTTCGCCGGCGCTAGATGCTGTGTCTGAGTCGGCTAGCGACATACTTCAGAAAGTCCCCAGCAGCCTTTCCGATTTGCCCAGATGCCATGCCTTCCTCGAGCAGCAGACCGGCCACGGCCGAGCAGGCTCAGGCCAGGCCTCTGGAGCCATGCATCCGTATAAGCACACTGAGGCAAAGGACCTGAACTGAAGGATACCACTGTAGTTCAAGTGTTGCGAAGTTTTAAGTTGCACGGCTGCAGCCAGTGCCTGTTGTGGCAGGAACTGCTGCGCCACGCACTATTCCGCATGTACTACTTGGCATCCCATCCGTTTACTGAGCATTGGCTCCCATGAAATCCCGAGCGTCTTTGCCGGATCAATCTCGCCCGCACCGTAGGCTCAGCCAGTCCGAAATCGACCCCGGCCCCGCATCAGTTGGGCCACAAGATCTCTTGAGCACTTGCTGCATCCAGCAGCCCATCCGACAGCAGCAACTCACGTCAACGGTCTCGCAAGGTACACTGAAGAAGTCATAGAGTTCTTTGGCCACGAACTTATAGCCTCGACCATCTTCAGAAATTGGGTACTAACTTAGCCTAGACCATCCTTTCGACATGAGGGTTCTTTGACACATCCAAAGACGTTGTGTTGAATTCGCCTTCGTCCCGCAGCTTGCGTGGGAGCCTCAGCTTCCTGGATGGCGGTTGAATGCGGCGTCATCTTCTCCATGGAAACCTGACATCTCATTAGGTGCAGCCAGCGAATGAGATCCCATTGTCTGGCAGTGGTTGCGGAGACTGTGCTTCAACAGCGTGTGCGCATCTACGTGCTTGAAGTGGCTGTGAGTGACTACTGCTACTACTGCGATTACTACTACTACTACTACTACTACTACTGCTCCAAACCCCAACCCGCCAAGATCCGCATGCCATGCGCCTCCCAGAGCAGGTTGCCGCGGAGAGTCTGGCTTTTGGCTTTTAGAGTCTATGGCGGTTGAGTTTAGGATTTATGGACCAAGGTTTTTTCCTAAAATGTTTATGGTTAGAGCTTGGGGCATCGGGGCTGATCTTTCTGAGGTTTCAGGCTGCGAGCAGCCGGGAAACCTAGCAGTTAAACTGGGTCGTCGGATTTGTTGCGGGAACTTGGCCTCGCAGACGTCAGACTCGGTTTCTGGAGCGGTGCAATGAAAAGCCAACTATGTAGAACACACCATTGTCGTCGTCATCACCATCAGCACCACCATCAGCATCACCATCATCGTCATCGCAGCATCTTCTTCATAATATTCATCATCATCGTCATCATCATCATCATCACCATCATCATCACCCATATCATTAAAGTTATAGGCTCTAGTCTGAGGATACTGTTATGAGATTCTCAGGCATGCACA